AGACTTTTTGTTTAAAATGTCACTTATGGGGCTTAACCTTTAAACAGTATAATGGTTGTTTAGTAAATATGTTGAGGTGAAATCCTTTTTACGTGTTAAATAAGTAGTTAATGTGGTTTAATATTTTTGGTTATACTTTATGTATACTAATTAAATTAATAAACATTTGCTTTCGTGTTTATGGAATACTGGAATAGTATTGTCGCGTCAGTGATCGGATGATTAAACAGTAACTTTCTTTTGACAAAGGACGACGAAGGCAGTCCTGACTAAACCTGTGACGCGAGCAGATGGCTTCTCCTGACTGATTTGTACAGACAGACCGTACAAGTGCAATGTCATAATGTCTTGCGAAATGAAAATAAGAGAAGTGCCAACATAGCCAGTATGAAGATTGTACGTAATCGATACAAGCTTCCTACTGTACTATAGTTTACATTACCTACCCTGTCTATTTATATTGTCTGTGAAAAGCAACTGCTTATCTTATGAAATGGAATGTAGTGAAAATTCTATATATCCAAAGTTTTATTTTCTTCAAACAATATAATTGTTAACAGCCGAAGATCATGAATTTCAAATTATCAATTTCAAATCATCATTCATTAAATTAAATAAGTCATATCGTGCAGTCAGTCCTTTAATCAAACAAGTTATATTTAAAAAAGTGTTTTCGTCTACGTCACATATCTTTCCATTCTTTTTGTGTGAGTTCTGTGTGTGAAGCGCTTTAGATTATAGAGTTTTAAGGTGCTGCAGAGGAATGAGTGACATAGGTCTATTGACGTTTATTCTTAATAATTCTTAAATTAGTTGATAGCGACTATATAACGCTATTCGCTCAATAAACAAAGCCAAAGTTCAAAGTGGCAAAAGAAGTAGTGCAATAGATTGAATTTGTATCCGACAGTGTCGACTGGCTAGTCGCCTAGTGAACTGTAATCACACATTTAGGACCATCATATTTTTATTTTTTAATTTTTTTTTATCATGTCATTGTCAGTTGTCATTTTGATTTTCGCGAGGTGGGTTGCTTTTTCGTCAAGGGGCGTTTGCTAACCAAAATCATCACTGATTTCGGCGTTTTTAACATTTTATTTATTTAAATAATTATATTAATGTTCAAAACATAAAAAAAGAAATGTATTTGTTTGTTTTGCGTCACACAGCATAAAATGGCTCGATTTTTGACGAAAGAACAACTGGAAGGATTTGAGAAATATAAGGTATTATAACTATTATTAATGTGATTTTTTTTATTAAAAATTAATTGATGACATGAAAATGTAACCATACTTAAAAATATTTTTGCTCTTGTCCAATCGGAATTAAGGCTGATTTGGTGCTTAATTTTCTTTTCAGTATAACTCAATCGATACTAGCGTACTCAGTAATTATGTTATGCATCCGTTTTGGAATTGGTGTGTCCAGGTAAGAGTAGTAGTATCAATAACAATTTTAAGCAATTTTGTGTAGTTCATTTTTTTTACATTTTGTCAAATAAAATTTTTTCTCCTCAATTTTTTTTTAATGATTTCATTTTGGATTTTTTTAGTATTATTATTTTTAAAAGGCTTGGTACTCACGTGTAGGTACCCACAAAATTTTATAAGTCATTGACAAAAACCGTGTATATAGATTAATACAAGACTAGCCAGTTGGTGTCTGTTTGTCAAGAAAGCCAAACAACAATTTTTAGTAAAAAATAAATAAAAAAAGAATTACATTGTTTGTGAAAAACAAACATCAAATTAATCACTTGAAAAATTTATGTGACTTATATTCTTTAGGAAGGCTGTGCACTAACTAAATTAATGCAGTAATAAATATCTGCAAAGCAAGAAAGTTAGGTCATTTCCACCAAAGTTGCTTAGTAAATTGAGTTATGTCTCTTAGATATTTTGAATTCCATGAGCTGATGACAGGAACACTGAAATATTTTATGGTATCCCTAGATTTCTTGTTCCTATTTAGTAATTCAGTTCAATAATAGGCAGTCTCACATTGGCCCTAATATTTAAAATAACTGCAGCTCCAAATTCGAGATTTCAATTACTACATACAGAACATAAAGGAGTCACTGATCATGCACCCGGGCGCTACACGCATTGCTGGCGCTTTCCCATGTAGCGCCCGGGTGCAGTCAATATCCTGGCGCTCACTAGTAGGCACGGGATCAAAATGGGTAGAGTTATATTTTGCTCACTGATCGGAAATTTGTGTGCAAATGGTGCAATGCAAAATAAATGATGTTGGGAAGCGATAGCCCGTTTATTTCGCTTGCGCTTTGAGCAACGCAAGTTCTTTGGAGGTGTTGGGAGCGGCGTTCGGCGCCGCCTAAAGCGGGACGGGTTGGGGCCGTGGCGGATCTAATTCCGTGTAATTTATATAGACGCAACCGCCCCCGACCCGCACCCGTTCTCTGTTGTGTTTCACGCTTTAGATCATGCACCCGCGTGCAGCGCACACCATGCGCCATAGGTAAAGCCTACACGCCTAAATACATTCATCTTATTGCGTGGATATAAAGCGTTTTCTGACTGGTTTAAGCCGGTTCAGCGCAGAATAGTAGTGACTCTAATAATTTACATATATATCTACATTTTAGTACAATATGTTTACCATATGAATAGATTTTTTAAAATAAAATTTAATTTATTCGTGTTACAAAAGTTTTGCAAACAGGTACAACTTTTGGTGGAAATGTATGTGCGAAACGTGTGAAATTCAAGCATGTTGTCAAAAAGTAAGAGCCACAGTAAATCTTATTAATTGGCATGTTTTCACTTAATATTATACCAAACTAATACCATATTAACATGTTTGCAGTTTTGTCCAGTGTGGGTGGCGCCCAATCTTCTAACATTCAGTGGCTTTCTCTTGACGGTCTTTAATTTTCTTCTGTTCTCGTACTACGACTACGGGTTCCATGCTCTCACTGAGGAGAATGTCACCAATGACCATATTCCTAGTTGGGTGTGGGCTCTCACCGCTGTCAACCTATTTGTTGCGTATACTCTAGGTGAGCATGTTGTATTTAGTATAGTAGTATAACAAAATAGTATAAAATACTAACAGTGGTAATAAGCGCTCAAAGTTGCAATTGTAACAGATTGTAACATCGTTAGCTAATTCACAGGATGCGACGCAGTATCGACTCGTCGTCTCACGGGTCTTCTTTACTGCCCTAATGCGGGTTGGCGCCTTAAAAATCCTCAAAGAGATTTATGACCATTCTTCAAAGAGCACTTTCACTACAAATTATGTACTTCCATCATAAAGCAAGTATTTTTTCATCTAAACTGCATACAACTCCTAGAAGATTCTAGTAGTATACTGATCCTGACAATAACAAAAAAAAAAACAATTTTATCTAATGGCCATAAAAATATCTGCGTCCTCGAACAGTCCGACCTTTTGGCTAAATATCTAATGAAACAATCATAATTATATGAACGAATCGAATGATGATGACTACCGGAACTCGTCGCGTTTATATTTTTATGAAATTATTAATTCATGCGAATATAATCTCAACATACAGAGTACTAAAAAAACAGACCTTAAAAGTTCGTGGAACACCATCTATTTGCCAAGTTTTATTGAAATCAGTTACCGAAAAGTGCGCGAAACCGAATTCATCCCCTAATTTTAAAGGTGGAATATTTTCTTCAAATTTAAATGGGACCAATACTGAGGTACCGTCTTTTCAACAAAAAAAGAATCATCAAAATCGGTTCTCTAATACCGGAGTTATCGCCTAACATACATACAAAAAAAAAACAAGCGAATTGAGAACCTCCTTTTTTTTAAGTCTGTTAAAAATGAGCGGTTTGTTGGGGCCGAGCAAAGCGTCAACAACTTAGATGTGCCAACATCTAATTTTAACTTGTATATTAATGCTAGGTAGGTATATTAGTCAACAGAGGCACAGTCACGGGCACTGTTCGGTCTAGTGTAAGCTAGAGTTGTCACGGTCACAGTTAGGCCTAGTGTAAGTTAGGGTCATCGAGTATATAACCAGAAATAGAGACGAAATGTCATTTAATTTGTTTGAAAACTATTCTGCCAAATTACTACTATGACAACTTGACAACTGCGCTCAGATTGGCCAGCCCGAATTCGAAACAATTGACACCCTTCAAATCGACCAGTTTAACTTGAACTTTGCTATAATGGACGAAAATTGAAAAAATTACATATTTAATATTTAATTACCGATGAAATGTGACTCCGTTTGTTTTGTAATTAGATGTTTTGCTATTTATCTCACACCACCTAATGGAACAGCCCCCCATAGTTAGAGATGTTATCTTTATTACAGTAAATATAGAATATTTTTGGAATATACTGAGACGTACACATAGGTCAGTTGGCGATGTACTATTTCCGCTTCCTAATTTGTGATTTCAGTGCAAACGCGAGTTGATATTTAAAAGTGATATAAGGCCCATTTGTCTGATGATGTTGCCCAGTTGCCAGCGATGGATGGCCCTTATTTCGTCTCTATTTCTGGTTATATACTCGATGGCTAAAGTTATACTTTACTCACTTCTTTCTAGCCGGAACTTGTAAGATGAATAATGCTCAGTACCTAACTACAAACTACAACACCAGTTTAGTATCTGCTGCATAACAATTCCATAGCAACAGTTACTTGTAGGTAATAGGTAAATTATAAGCGACGGCCACGACCTCCCGCAATTATCATTATCCAATTACGGTTAGTATTAGCTGTTATGTTGTAACCCTTTCCACTAAGTATATAAGACTACAAGTTCACTGTCATTAGCGATTCCTTACAAGTATGAAGATAATTACACACACAGTGTAATATTATTATTTGCACGATGCTTTAGGATTTTGCTCATTAACCCGTTCATAAACAGTAACGACTTTTACCGTAAAATGAAATATCAGAATATAGTGTATTATGTGTCCCGTTTCGCTATATGGGTCTCAAAAAACCAATTACGTGATTCATAGTGCTATTTCCAAGTGCTTTATGTGTAGTTGCCGCCAACTGCTTCTCCAACAACGTGGGTACGGACAAAATTCAATGATTTACTCTACGACACAAAGAGAAGTAGTGACATTTTGTTTGCGGTATTATTTAAGTACGTTCCATCAGCGGGACAACTACGTTTATATAACAAACACCTCTCCACAACAAATAATATTTCCGCCGCCCCCGCGCCGTTAGTTGAAAGGGCGCTTGTGACGAAAACTCAAAATCGAAAAAATAATGATGTTAAGAAATGAAATTTAAAAAATATCTACTTTTATCTTGCGATTATTTCATACTTTGTCCACTAGGAAAAACTAAAAATTACTACTAATCAGGGCAGTATACAAACTGCTTCCGTGGCCGGACGGTTACCATGCTGAACTGCAACGCAGAGGTTCGCTTCCCGGGCCGGGAGAAATATTTGTATGTTTGGGTGAGTGACTCTCGTGAGTTTGGGTGTAATTTGTGGTTATTTGTATGTGTGTCCATGGTACCCGCGCCACAGGGTTTCCCTAGTGCGTTGCGTTTTATAACGATTTTTTTGAAAAAATGTCACATGCACCCTTTCAATTTACGGCGCGGCAGAATAGCTATAAAGAACAACTGTTTTTAAAGGCTCATATTATTTAGACTGCGATAATTCTCCGGACGATGCTTCCATTCCCTTCCGGGCAACGAGCCCTATGTGGATATTTGATATGGAACAAATACTACTTATTTTGCGTTTTGGGCCACGTAGTAAGCGTTGTTTATAATCAATATAAAATATTGGTAAAGGTAGTATCATCCTTAAAATATCGTGAAACAAAAAATATCATCCATATCATTTCCGTGTATTAATTACGCTACTATTATAATACATTGCTCTTGTACACGTCCCCACTAAAAATGTATAAGATTCACTAACAGAGCTACGAAATAACATACTACATACACTCATATTTCGAGGAACGCGAAAAAAGGTTGTATTATGGTAACCACGTTAATATGAACCACCCACTGGCCTTCAGAAGGTTTAATCAAAGTCAAAAGACGATTGATTCTTTTTACAAATGAAACTTTCTACTGTATAATGTAAAAAAATAAAAGGAAATCAAAAATGGAATGTATAAAATCGAGTAAGTGTGGCATTATCAACTGCAAATCCCCCTCAAATTCAATTTACTAATATAGTTTCTAAATAGTGAATTTCAGATAGAAGATTGGTAATAACTGTTGCCCCTCAAAAATATATTTGTCCTCAAGGAAGGACATTCCTCGCCCAATATGAAGATAAACACAAATAAAAAAGAAGCTCCGTTAAGCATGTAAAGTTCGAATGAATCATCCATAATTTACATTTCGGCAAATATAATTAACTCTAAAAATGCTATTTCGATATTTACTGTATAATATATAGTAAAAAATAATCCTGTTAAAATTTGAATACCTAAGCGTAATGCTAATAAAGATCCAAAGTTTCATCATGATGAAATGTTAGAGGGAGTGGGTAACCACTGTTTCATATGAACATCATAATTCAACCTTTTTTAGCGTTCCTTTAAATATATCCATGCACTAACACAGCAAGCAGTCCTAAAACAATTTGTGATAACACTTAATGCTACGCTACGGAAATTGTTGCAATTTTCGCCTGAAAACCGCATTAAATTGGAGCCTATTAAGGTACAAGAAATGGTGTTACTAGGAATAAGCCTTGTCTAGCTGAATTCGTGTACGTACGTATACAATTACTATATATCTATTGTTCTTTCGTGATATTTAAAGTCACGCAACAAACATTGTTTAATAAATGCTTGGTTGTATATGGTTCCGGCGGATTTAGATTATTTCATTCAGTAAGGTTGTGTGAGAAAAATATTGACTAATTATCTTTAAATTAATTAAATATACGCAGTATAAATAAATTATAATTAAGCAAGGCATATTGACGTTTACTACTTTAGTAATTGGAATACAAATCTGAATTGTTTTCATTTAAAAAAGGTAAATGTACTTTATAAAAATGCGTTTTTAAGCGGTATTAACTATTAGATAAAATCATCTGGTGTGCAGATTAACCTTAGACAAACTTGCAAAATATCGAAACGGGTTACGGTAACATTATAACAACTTTGTTTAATTATTTTTTCTTAACTATAATAATATAATTTATTTGGTGTAATAATACATTTCTTATTACCTACGGATATTCATTTCAGGGTCATAGGTCCGTTATTATTTTGTCTATTTCAAAATTTGCAGCTGATAATGTTATGTTGGCTTTTTGTTAGGTGTAGGTATTATCGTGAGTGTACTATATAAATTATCAAAAACTTAACCTTGCCATATTCTGTACCTATTTTCATAATTTATGAATTTCTACTATGTATATAATAAAAATAGGTACTTTTTGTGCGGAAAAAAGTTCAACGTTGCCGATGGTTTAAAAACTAGTGCCAACTTAACAACTACTAAAAAATTACTCCTACTAATTGAGTTCTTAGGTTTTCGCGATTGATTGTTACAAATAGGGAATGAAACTATTCTTTCAGGTCTAAGTCGCGCATGTTTTTTTTTTCAAACAAAGCAACGTTTCGAGCCCTTACCAGGTCCTGCACCTACTCTTTTCGTCTGACATCTGTCCGAAATAATTACTGTCGAATAAGTAATACTCGACCATGTTAAAAGATGCATAATGCAAATGAAGCTTCATACTTGATATTGTCTTAACATTAATTTATATTTGACGGAGAGTAGACCTTCCGGTCACGTAGACACGGATGACTACTACTACTAGTTACTTATTACTTTTTTGCTATTTTGTATTCGACACGTCTAGATCGATTTTACAGATATAACAAGAAATTAATAAGCCAGAATACAAAATTATAGAAAATTTTATATATCTATTTTTAAAATAATAGAACAAGTGGGGCAACTGGCTACCAAATACCGGCAGTTTAGATTGTCGACGAACCGATTTTCCGTGCGTCTAGTGCCCTTTGTTATCTAAGTTGAAGTGTCGACGTGATAAGCACAGATACGTCAAGTAAGTTTTTAAGTAGTGTTTTGTTTATCTTGTCCCAGGAGACATTGGTTATACGATGCATTGTTATAACCCTACTACATCGAAGTTGAAAGGAGAGTTATGATTTAAGCAACGTATACATATAATACAAAATAAGCAACTCGCTCATTTGTGGAAACGGGTTGTATAGAAGTTGACTGTAACATAATCTCAGTACAGAGTACTAAAAAAACCGACCTCAAAAATACGTGGAATTACATCTATTTGCCAAGTTTTATTGAAATCGGTTACCGGAAAATGCGCAAATCTGGATTCATTCCCTAATTCGCCACTATACGGACTTGGCACAGGAGATAATAAAAACGCCTTGAATTGGAGAATAGCAAAATTAACCATCAAAGTAATTGCTCCTTATAATAAAATTTAGGCGCTATTTATAAAAATTGATCTTCATGTGTGAACAGCCACCCTTAGAGGTGGATGATTTTCTTCAAAATTAAATGGGACCAGTATGGAGGTACTCTCTTTCCAACAAAAAAAGAATCATCAAAATCGGTTCACAAATAACGGAGTTTTCGCGTAACGTACATACAAAAAAACAGTCGAGTTGAGAACCTCCTCCTTTTTTAAAGTCGGTTAAAAGTAAGTATAGTTTCTCTTTGACCGGATAAATGTACCTATTGAAGACATAATAGAGTCCTATTTCGTTTCTTGTTTAAAAAATGTTCTCAACGAACGCTTCAATATATTCCCTCATTATTAGTGACTATTTAGATAAAACGATCGTATACGACCCTGGGTCGCTGGGCTCGACTGTAAAAACGGGTTTTATAGAAAGATAGAACTTAACAGATGCTATAGAACTTTGCGACGCGGTTTTATTCAAGTTCTAAATCATCTTTATTTCATGCAAATTACACTTGAAATCGTGATATTGATTAAACCCTACCGCTCATTCGTAAGGTAGATTCCCCTGAGAAAAATGAGGAAATTTGAATACATTTATCATTTACGATATTGGAACGAATGAAATGAATGAATATTTATTTTTATTATACTATATATATTTTATTATACCTCGGGTCACTATCATGGATTTTTGTATTTTTGTTGATTTTTGTTTTTTAGGCCATATTAATAATTCTTCTTAGAAATCACATCGTTATTGTTACAATGTAGGTACTTTAATTGTCTCAGAGATTTAAGATTTGAGAATTAGATTTTTTTATGATTAAGTAACGGGACGAGCAAGTCGTGCGCCTGGTGGTAAGCGACACGCCTGTCCATAGCTTTTGCAAAGATTTGAGGGGCACTGCCACTGCACCCGTCATCCTAAGACGTAATTTGACAAGTCCTATGTGTATGTGATTACTATACTGTAAAAATTCAGATTTGTCAGTAATAAATACAGATATATCTGTAATAAATACTGGATTTTTAGTTTTTTATATTTCTATTAACTAAAAAAAATGCGTATTCAGTGGGCGTAGTCGTAGCACAATCGCCTCCGATCGCAAGTCCATTGTCTCTGAAATAGTAGGGCTAGCACAAACTCAAATAATCATTTATTCCATAGATAAAATTTTTACACTTGAAAACGTAATTTTTAAGCTACTGCTCGTTCACTACGCTGACCTCCCAGAGAAGAACGAGTAAGAAACTCTAGGGATAGCTCTTTTCAAATAAACTTAAATGCTATGGAATACACTTCGAATTATAATTGTGTGGAATCTAGACTCGTGTTGTCTTTCCATACTCCTTTATCTAAAACATACTGTTCAATTTTGTAATATGACTTTTCAATTAAAATACTTTTAATGTAAATTTTAAACTTTGGAAATGATAATTTTAACATATTCTCCGGAATCTTATTGTAAAAACGTATACAGTTCCCCATAAAAGAGTATACAGTTCCCTCGTTTACCTTAGTTAAACGTAATCGTGGTACCATGAGTTTGGACTTAGATCTAAGGTTAATATTATGATCTATGCGAGATATAGATCTGTATGCAAGAATAGCAATATAGCAATATATACATATGTATTACTAACATTATTATGGATCATGGTCCGAAATAAATAATTCTATTCTAATATATCGCACTTTATGTCGCTCTCGCGCTTGTCGCGCCCAATCGTGCTAGCCCTACTGGTTTTTCATTTTTTTACTTATATTCTATTATCATCTGACTTATTTTCTCGAAGGACGATTTGAGAAATCGCTATGATTAAGTGCAATTAAGCATTGTACGTACTTACCGCGTTTGTACAACTCTAGGGAATACTTTGTTTCTGTACTCTACATCAAAATAATAATTCGTAAATAATAAAAAAATATTTTTGTTAAATGTGTTGATTTAAAGCATATATAACGTGTTTGATTATGCTTGGGACATAGCGAGGGAATAATTTTGGTGACATTTTTATTATTAGTAATTTAAATAGTTAAAATTTTATTTATATTTTATGTAGACTACTAATAGCAATTGAAGTATAATTTACTTTAAAATATTAATTTTACGCAAAGAATGAAGTACTTTTTTTTAGGACAACAATTTCGATATTTTGTAAGAATTATCCTTACATAGATAGTGTAGGAGGCAACGAATTCGAGTCATATTATGTAAAAAATATTAAACAAGACAAAAGAAAACATACATATTGTTCGTTATTTAATTAAAGTTTCGTTTTTATTTATCTATGTAATATAAATATTCACATGTAATAAATTCCGGTAAAAGAAAGTAAGTATTGCGTAGAAAGTAATTTTAGGGTCAAAATTAATTCTTTACAATATTTACTCGTCATAACGGAATAATGATGGCCTTATGATTTTTGTAGTAGATTGTTGTCGATATAAATTAACTCTTATTCGTTTCCAAGGATTGAAAGAAGAAAGAAAGAAAATACCTTTATTTGTTTACCACAATGACACCACAGAAGAAAAAAAGAACATAAAATATAAATAAATTTGATTAAATTAAAACATAAACTATTCACATAGATTAATTAAATTTTTATTGAATTGATATTCAATTATTTTTTGTGAAATTTCTCCACTAGTTTGTTTTAATTATAAATACAAAGATCGAACGCTCGGAAAAAATTCCTTCGATCCGGTCGGTAAGATGCTTTGTGTGGTGCCAGCCGCGGTACTAAAAAGGTCACAAATTCGGTATTTGCTGGAAAACGCACAGCATTCCCAGCACTGTTTTTCAGTTAGAACCCTAATTAATGTCACGGAACTGCAGCTACTTACGCAAACGTACTTACTTGAATATAATACTAAAATAATTGTAGCCATGTATGTACATATTAAATTATAGCAGATATGTATGTGTGTTGTGTATGTTTAAATACATCCAAGTAATTACTTACCAGTTTGAAAATACTATAGATGTAGAAATATACTATTCCTACATCAGGCAACTAATATACTCCCAACGAAAGAGTTATTGTTTTAAAATAACTAAACAATCAATACATAATATTATATACCTAACTAGTGTGTATAAAAAGTGGTATTGCTATAAGTAGGTACTGTACAAAGTTGGAGTTCTTAAGTTTTCGCAAAACCTCACGTTCCATTTCGGAAACACACGTTCCATGGTCACTGATTGATTGGCCAGAGGCAGATGACAACTTTAAAAACAGACATATATTTATTTGTCTACCCTCTGTCGCTGTCGACGGTTACCTTCATCTCTATTACTTGTGGTGTTACTGTCGTCACTCACTTTGTTCCGACAAACACATGAGAAAGGACTTGTCAACTTACGTCTCAGGATAACGAACGCAGTGACAGTGCCCTTCAACTCAGTGACCCTCCAATTATCATGACTACGAGTGTCGTTTACGGGTGCACGACTTCTTCGTTACGCCTGCTTGGCATGATAAAAAAACTTACTTCATATACACAACCTCTTTGGGTATGGTTCCAGTGTTTTAATTATTCCTGTTCTGTGCAGATGGAATAGACGGCAAGCAAGCGCGACGGACCGGCACTAGCGGACCGCTTGGCGAGCTGTTCGACCACGGCCTTGACTCCTACTCGGCTGTGCTGATCCCCACTTGCCTTTACAGCATATTTGGACGGTAAGAAACCAATAAGGCAACTCTTACACTGTGACGGATGTTGCCTAGGACCTAATGGCGAGGAGACGCGCGGGGCGCGTAAGTTGCCCTTTAAGTCGTTAGCTATGTCCGGACATTGTCACAGGACACTGCTACCGTACTAGCCCGGAGAGCTAGTAGAGGATGAGACATCCTCTATTAGGAATTTGGGCACTATAGAGACGCCGTTCGGGAAGTGAACGTGCCTTACAGTTCCGCCACCAAAGAGAAGATTTGGTGATCGGTTTAGAGTCGACGGCTCAGCGGTGGCAACCGTTAGTAGCGCTGAGCGCGACGGGAAGTGAGCGTGCCTACAGCTCCGGTACCTATCTGGAAAATAGAGAGGGTGTTGTACGCGCACCCGGGGCGGCGCTCATAAGGCACTAGCCTTACAGAGAACCGGATGAAGTTCGTGTTAACGGGCTGATCCGGGGTTAGGACGTGGCTTAGATGGTCCTTGTGCGGGCTTGCTCGCACAGGTCATAGTGCCCTTCACACATAACCAAAAGGTTGATAGGGAGGGGCACTATAAACAAAACTTATGTAGAAAGATATGGGACTGTGACGCATGTTGCATACACTGACCATTCAGTATACATTTATACTATTAAAGATTTGTTATAACCAAAACGCACGTCAGTCGTGTGGTAGATTCGTTGGTCAATGCGACGACACAACGGCAGCCGTGCATAATACTGTAAACAACAAACCACAACAACCAATCCTATGCTAAAGTCGCAGTGATGCGTAAAGTTAGAAACAGTAAAATTTACAAGAACGAAATGTATTGTGTTCCATCAAAAACTTTTTTACAATTATTATTTACCCACTATAAATTAGAAGCCAGTTAGTTATCTTCTTCATATCGTATCGCTATGTACTATAATACTTGCCATCATGGTGATAGGGTTTACGCATTGACGTAAGGTACTCGCCAGTCATAGATATAGAAAAAAAGGGGAGATATGTAATGACGCTATGTAAGATCGGGTGCCGATGTCGCCACTTGTTAGCTTGTGTGCAACTTAAACTTTACCCTCTATTATCTACTACCATAACTTAAAGATTTTGATTGGGTAGGGCTTAAAACGTGAAAACGACGTAAAACAATTTTAAAATTTAACATAATTAAACTTACAGTCCCTTGAATAAGAGTTATAATACAATATTTCCGTATTTTTTTCATCCTGGTTCAGCCATTCACCAATAGGTGGCGTTTTAGTAAAAATACTACTAGTATATAATAGCTAACTATTACACGTTAGATGGCGCTGAAACTCATTTTTCGTTACACTAAGAATTAACGGAGCGGTTTTCACCCGCGTCTGCAGCGGGACCGCGGCATCTGTAGAATGTAACAGTTAAGTATGTAAAATTAGTAGCACATTTCACGGCGCGTTTTACGCCTGTAGTGGTGACGGTTATTCGCTGTTGCTGCGGCAGGGTACTAGTAGAACCGCGCAGGACGCGATGACCTGCGCGCTTGGCAGTCGTCGTCGCTCGCATACTTTGGCGGTCGGTTCAGGCGCATGTGGTGCAGGCGCACGCAGGGTGAATTCTCTATTATCCGCGCGACTTGCAATTAACTCCCATTAACTTCGCGGTCCGTTCCGCAATCGCAACGGTTTCGTACCCGCAACCGCGTCAGCTACGTGCCCGTACAAACTTGCGTGGCCAGGAACCGGAGAAAGGCGATAAAAAGGCGGGATGACGATGCAAGGAGGACACACCGTCACAATACCCGAGGGCCCGGAGAAAATAAAATCGTTCAGGGTCGTGAGTATTGAAATAAAACCGCTGTCTAGCAGCACCGGCGGGCGCGGATGGAAACCGCTCCGTGAATTGTTAACCTTATTAACCTTAAACTGATTGGGTTGGTGAAGCTGTCACTGTCAAGAGTAAACGCGAACCATCAATGAATTTAATAAATTAAATTATGTTGTTTTTTATGAAGGATTTATGTAATTTTCTATAATTGTTTCTAATTTATTTTGCATGCACAACTAAAATAAAGCCGATTTTATTTTATTTATTTTTAAATGCATTTTCTATGGAAATTGAAACAAAATCAGAAATAGTAATAAGAAAACCAAACTTTCGATTTTCCTGCAGCTTCAATCCAACCTTCTATTATTTTGAACTCATTGGAAATACTTAAAAATACGCTACGTTTAATCTACGAGTATAATGGAATTTAAATATCTTCAATATCTAAAACACACAAATTTTTCTTCAAGCAAGAGCAACATCCAAACTGACATGAAATTTGAAATTGAAACGGTTATCCGAAATATGAGTTGTGTTAAAGTTACTCGAAATAAAATGTTTAGTAATAATAATAATAATAATAATGAAATAAAAGAAATCAATTTAACGTGAATGCTTTTCGCTTCGATATTTTAGGGAATTTAATTACAAAAATCATAGTAAGAAATTCAAACAATTCAGTAAAAATTTATTGTCGATAAACATCAGTCTTCGTAAATGAACATCACTTTATTTGAGTCTAGAAATTTCTATGGAGACAAAAAGAAAACATTGAATAATAATAGAAATAGTAACTAAAAATGCAAATAGCCGGTGGAATGTTATCTCACTGGTTTTCAAATTTTTGTTTTCACTCCAATTTTTACAAGGTGTATCGCTACAACTTGGCATTGTCACGTTTTACGAGAGATCTTGTATGTACAACGATCGCCATGTCACTGTGGCGATGTTTGAAGGCGTGTCACCACACGAACACGAACCACGCTCCCATACCATATCTCCCCTTTTTTTCTATATCTATGTCGCCAGTTGTCGCTCAGGGTCCGCCATGCGTACAGTAAAGTATGTCGTGCGAACTAGCCATTTCAGCAGAGAACATCTGAGGAGGGGTGCAAGGAATAATATGCTATCGTAAGATCGGTATCTGAATAACACAATATATTGTATGATTATGGCTTATTAAGTATATTACAAAACTGATATGGGTATTTTCAAAGTCAAGGTCAAGTAATCTTTATTTCATAGGTAAGCAAATTATACTTGAAATCTTCATACTGATTAAACTCTACTGCTCATTCGTAAGGCAGATTCCCCTGAGAAGAATGAGCAAGAAACTCTAATTGTTGCTCTTTGTAAATATACATTTGAATACATTTATCATTATAATATTTAATTTAAACATCTTAGATCGAGAATACCTGAAACAGCTAAACAGGCCACTACCACGGATTTTTGTCATCCAAGTACGCAGAAGTTGTATATATATACCTTTAGTGTAAAGTTTTTGTTTCACAATAGTTTTAAACCTCTTAAATAGCAAATTTTGAATATCAATCGGAATCTTATTATAGAAGCGTATACATTGACCCATTAAATGAATTTGAGACTATGAAGACGACTATCAAGAACAGCTAGTTTATTTTTATTTCTCGTATTAATGTTATGTCTGCCACTACTTTTCATAAAAAAATTTATATATTAATTATAATATAAATAATAATAAATAAAATTATAATATAAATATATAATAATAAAATTTATTATATTTTCTTTAACATTTTTTTTGTTATTTATATAACATTTTCATAAAAGTACTGTGACGTTAGTGTAAGAATATTGAAAAGTATCACATTCATATCGAAAGTCACAACATCGAAATCGTCTTTGTATCGAAAACGTGATATAGATTGGTCGTTACAGCGACAGGATGACGATGATGATAAGATATACTTGACAAGTATTGTCTAGGCGAGCATATCACATTGTCATCCTCGTCTGCACTTACCAGACCAAAACTAATTCAGAAAAGCTCATTTCCCAAATTGGACTACTGGTAAATCCGGGACCTTGTCATCGAGCGCCCACAATGCTAAGCGCAGAGCCACAAGGTTAGGTTGGGTTAGCAATGTAGCCGTGCTGAAAATAACTTTATACCTAACTTTATACGGGACATTTTTTATTAATTCGAAGCTTCCTAATTCGACATATCTAAAAAAGTGATTAAAACACACAAGTTTATTTTATGACTTTTGAAAAGTTATGCATATTTTGACTCCTCATTCAAAACTATGTGCAGATGCAAATTTGTATGGAAGTGGAAAAAAATTGTCAAATTTTCAAATCTTTTCTTTCAAATGTGTTCTAATAGTACGTGTTATTTCTTCCAGGGACGAGCTAAGTCCACTGCGGTTCTTTTTCGTGGTGTGGAATATATTCATCAACTTTTACCTCACGCACTGGGAAAAGTACAACACTGGAGTCATGTTCTTGCCATGGGGTTATGATTTTACCATGATTGTGAGTTTTTTATTTTTGTCATTAGTGTTGATACAAATATCGAATACAAAGAGAAATTCCGTTCAGTCCAGTCAGATGATCACTGAAAAAAAAACAAATGGACTCTTAACCAACTGAGCTACACACCGAGTTTATTTTTTTAATTTGTTTATTTCTCCACAGTTATATATTTGGAGAAACATAATTTGTATCGATGAATGTCATCGCTTGGAACGGCTGATCCTTTCTATTACAATAGTGTAATAAAACTATTAAAACTTTTTTTACTTATAGCGTACACGGATTTAATGTTTCGTCACTTTCCGTCTGGTGGGAAGAAGGTCAAATGTGCACTCATTCATCACAAAAAACATTGAAAATAAAACAAAAATCGAAAAAGTTAGCCATGAACACGGCACTTGTAAAAAGCCCGAAACGTTAATTTCTTTAAAAAAACAAATATTACGCAATTTTAAATAAAAAACGGTTTCATTTTCACTAGATTGGCATTAGCATTCATTCATTCTCAAATTTAGTAATAATTATCATTCGCCACAGGGCTCGTGCATTCTGCTGCTTGTGACGTCAATCATCGGACCACGAGCTTGGCACATTCAGCTGCCGGGCGGGATTACCCCTGGACTCTTTTTCGAACTTGTGTTGTACTTTTCTGCCATGCTGACTAGCCAAACGGTTATCATTTGGAACATTTACAAGTGAGTTCTTCATAGTTTGAATACCCCTGTATACACTGTTACTATGATTTGTGACACGCGAGAGGAATGATGTTGGCCAATATTAACAATCTTTTCTATGTATAAAAAAAGACCTCCAAAGTTCATGGAATTACAACTATTTGCCAAGTTTTATTGAAATCGGTTACCGGAAAGTGCGCGAAACCGGATTCATTCCTTAGTTTGCCACCCTAAGAGGTGGAATATTTTCTTTAAATTTAAATGGGACCACTATTGAGGTACCCTCTTTCCAACAATAAAGAATCATCAAAATCGATTCACAAATGCCGATTACGAGTTTTTCGCGTAAAATACATACAAAAAAAAAGGAAAATATACAGTCGAGTTGAGCACCCCTCCTTTTTTTAAAGTCTGTTAAAAACGATAGCAGGAAAGCGACAGGAATGGGCAGCAAGCAGGGGTGGAGGGAAAACACTTATTTTTGGCGAAAATGTTATAATAGCACTTCATAGCGGACAATAAGTCAATGGATAAACAAGGAATATCAAAAATGTACGTCAAAAATACAAAAAATATAAGGCGGATTATGCCTCCATAAACAAATACTTATCAAATTTTTTATTGGGAACAATTATTTGCATCAACTACAAATGTCAATGAAATGGTCTCGAATTTTTACATGTTTATTAATCAAACTGTACATAATTTTGTTCCACTTACTAAACCTAAAAACAAAAATTTTCCTTTTTGGTTTAATAGATCACTCATTAGGATTCCAATTCCAAATTTAGTATCTGAATCGTATAATATGAGAGTGTGAGTTGTATATTTTGCTTATGAAAAAGTCTTCCTAAATTATTTATTTTTTATTAGTTTTAAAATGATTTTTTACTTTTCCAACTCTGTTTAAACATTTTCTTTTGCATGAGGTGCTCACCTATAATTAGTTACGCAATTAGACTAAGTTTTTGAAATGTATTAATACCTACATGAAATGTTGTAGTAACTGTTGGTGTGCCTAATAAAAAAAGAAAACTAATTCCAAATAGTCATATTTGGAATTAGTTTTATTTTTATTACATTGAAAAAGTATATGAAAGAAGGTCTGTCGTCAACACTATGGCTCATCTCACACTGGCGCAGAGTCAAAACGTCGCGTCGCGTCCTGTTTTTCAACTACAACGCCGCGCGACGACGACGCTCGCATTAGTGCACCCGGATCACAGTGTGGTCGGCGTCAGACGCCTCACTGCGACGCGCGAAGCCGCTCGACTGCAACCAGACGCCCGTTTCCATATTTGCATGACACATATTTTTACCTTAATAATGGGAAAATAGAGATGAATATGATATAGGCGAAAAACATGACGCGTCGCGACGCTTCGACTCTGCGCCAGTGTGAGTTGAGCCATAGCGTTTCAGTTTTTGAATAAACGGAAAATGAATGTACTGTGAAGTTCTTGTAGCACACTCCATCTCTTTTTCATTGCGTAACCCTACTTATCGTTATAAATTAATGGAACCATCGACCTGCCAAATGTAACTAACTAAATTAAACTACCTCCAACATGTAACACCATTTTTGTTTCTGGGTTATCAATATCATTTGCCAATTATTAGTTCTGACAGAAAAACATCAAAAAACTTTTTGCAAGCTTTTTTCCCTGTAATGAAGTTGCTCTTGTGGTTAGGAGAACGGAAAGTTGAAATTTGCGTACCATTATATAACTTTTTTAGTTATATACGTAGTTGTCTATGCCATTAAGGAAACGCACCAACTTTCGGGTTCTCTTTATTTAAAGACTAAAAGGGAACATTACATTTCAATCAATAGTATATCTCAACCAAAATCCTACAAATTGACGACAAAAAACCTAGAAATGTGTAGATTTGCGGGATTATATAAATACCCTATGTAGCTATGTAAATAGGCAGCTGTGTAAATACCACCGTGGCGGCCACTAAAGCAAAGTTTCAAGGTTTTCAGTTTACTCTTTTTTACATACCTGCTACTCAATTAAATAGATTCCAATACTATCAAACCAGAAACAGAACCTTTTTGACAATTTGTTACATAGTGTTTATTATTTACTTGGACAGGTCATACCGAGATCGCACAGGCAAGATGCGGTCTTTTTGGGAGGCAGTGCGGCCGCTCGTCCCGGTGCTGACGTTCTTTACTCTCTCTGCGTTGTGGGCCATTTATTCGCCTACGAATATCATCGAACGGGGACCGAGACTCTTCTATTTGCTTATTGGCACTATCTTCTCAAATATCAACGTGAGTTATCAGTGTTTGTTTGGGAAATAAACGTACTGTATGTTGGAGGATATCACGACTCACCCACACATTGCTGAACGAGGATTCGCTTAGTATTTGAGCAAAAAGGTAAAGTTGAAGTTTGCAATTGATATACTGATTTAATAGATATCAGATTAATGACAAGTTAACATGGACTACACGCTAACGCTTCATCTTCATTATTAATTATTGAACTTTTGTGGTAATTAAAAAAATTGATAATATAAACCCATAATATACGCTACTGCTGGGCAGATATTTCTAGATATAGGCTGCCCAGGTCAAGGGAAATTTGTCTCCCACATTAGTATTTCGTTATTATAGTCGAGCTTGAAATTCCTGCAAAAACATCAAATCGAATATTTTTACAATATTTTCGTACAATCCACATACACAAAACGCGTCTTCGATCAATAGTATACCTTTGGCAACCATTTGAATTCACCAGTGATGACTGCACTTATGACGAAGTCGAAACACAAGTCATGTGATTTGGAGTGTTCTAAGAGTATGTGATCTTATTATATATTTTACCAAATCTGTACGATCTTTTTTAATTAAACCAGAATTAATATGTGGGAAGACACTTTACCATAGCCTGGTTAGATTTTGATTACGTGGGAGGAACCCAGGTGTATTGTCGTGTCTTCTTACTTTTATTTACCTCTGGATTTTGTAATTATTTTATTTGCGTTCTTGCATCATTGTAATAAAATATTAGGTACTCCATACTATATTTCCCGTGGTCTGGTCAAGGGTATAATTACACCGAATTTTACGAATCAGTATCGCACAGGTAATGAAATAACTGTTTCCCACGTTTTTTAATGGTATCCAACAACTGAATTTTGTTTATTTACACCCTTTCAAACCAGGGACTGTTAGGGATGTAAATATATATAAGATACGTTTCAAGTCATGTTGATTCTCCCTAGGGCCTTACCATTAACTCTTATTACGATTCAGTTTAGGACCTAAACTGAATGAGACAGCGCTACATGAAGTGTATATCACCATTCCACTGTTTTTGTCGTTACGAACCTATACGGGTTAATGCGGGAGTTTTTTATTTATGATACAAAGTGACGGGATGAACAAGTCATGCATCTGGTGGTAAGTGACACGCCTGTCCATAGCAGTTGCAGTGTCACTCAGAGCCTTAAATTGCAAAGATCTGAGGGACACTGCCATTGCGCCTGTCACCCTTAGACCAAGTTGACAAGTCCCCATGTGCCGGTAATTTCACCAGCACCCTGCCCCTTCAAAACTGGAACGCAATAATGCTCACATTACTGCTTGGCGGCAGAAATAGTTTCACAAAGAGCTATCTGCTATGAAAAGAGGGAGTGATTTTAACTGTCTTCAATACAATTGACAACCGCAGTGGCGCAGTGATTCACACTAGGCGTCAGGCAAGGAGGTCCCGTGTTCGATTCCCGGTAGGACCTATTTGGGAAACGAACTTTTCAAAATTAGTCATGGTTTGTGTGTTCGGGGTAGTGCCACGCAATTAATTGCGTTGCTGTGATACTCACAGTACAAGGAATTTCCTAGTTTAAAAAGAAATTTCATTCCATTAGAATACCGTGCCGCTATTAATTTGTTTTTATTTCCTATTTTCATCCTAGTGCCGTCTAATCGTAGCTCAAATGAGCGATACGCGCTGTGAGATTCTCAACGGCCTGCTGCTACCGTACGCTTTAGTGATGGGCGTAGTGTTCCTGTTCCGGGTATCGCCAATGGCCGAACTGATGTTGCTCACTCTGCTCACGATCGGCTGCTCCATTGCGCATATTTATTATGGCACTAAAGTGGTAAGTGGCTGCATAAATAGAAAAAAAACTGCGGTTTTGCTTTTTCTGTGAAAAAAATACTGCGGTTTTGCTTCTCCTGTTAAAAAATGTATGCGGTTTTGCTTTTTGTTTTCAACAGGCCCCGATTTATAACATTTTGCCTTAAACTTGCGAAATTATTGGGATTGTGAATTATAAAAGACATTATTAACTTTCTAAGGTCTCGTGGACATCAAAATCGAAATAATATGTGAAGTGATTCAGAGCCAGACAATATTATTCCTATGATCAAGTAAACGCTCAATGTATGTACGGACAACGGCATATCAGACTACACATTTTTGTTCGAGAATCGCTTCCAGTGCAACGGAACAAGATACGTCAATGTGTAGCTTGATATGCTGGCGTTACAGTGAAAATATCGCATTCAAATTTTGCGCTAAATGTTCTTTATACGGTATCTATAAAAAATACGTATTTCATACAAAACTGAATGTTATACTTGCTTGAATGTTATACCTGAAGTATGTAATTATACAGGCTGATATAAAAACCACTGACCATTTTAAAGGAGCATACTGTATAATGGAAATAAAAAATACACGTTCAGCTTTTTTTTTAAATATTTAACAAATATATAAGTTATGACGCCTCAGTTTTCTGAAAAATTTATGAACAATATTGACACCTGACGATTAACAAACGCCGTTGGTATAGCAACAACAACGGTTCAACAACTGTATTTAGCACATTTTAATTTACGTATAATAATGTACAGGGTCAGAGCACATCAAGCTTGACACTTAAGATTTAAATCCAACTCTATGCCGCTTACGATGAGAACGGTCCAAAGTTTGTACTTTACACTTTGTAGTGTCCAGCTTGATGTGCTCTTGACTGTACATTGGGCGTGTAGCTGCAACATGCGCTACGGATGTATGATGCGACTACATGCGTTTAGCGTTTTTTCCATTGTAGTTTGCTGGGTCCTAGGTGGTTTATATGTAGGTGGTATTGATTTAAGTATAGACCACAATACCTTGTTGCAATCAAAGACACAGGAAATCTTATGTCCCACGGGAAGTGACTCGTTTGCTATACGAAATTGATTGAGAGTACTTGGTGTAACGGGCTGGTATCCGCAACTCGATGTCAAGGCGCCTATTTTTTTTGTATATAGTCTCTTAAGTTCTGCATCTAAAGCGCTTTATTGTCTTTTCCAGGTACAAGAAATGTGTGATCATTTTAAAATTCAATGTTTCCATATCAAATCAAAGATACAGTAAGTAAATTACTAATAGAGCTGTAATTGTAACTATATTTATGGGATGTATTTTATTGTAATAGTTAAAGGGTTAAGGCAATCTCGATATTTGGTGTTAGGTACTTTGTGAAACATTTATTACCCTGTATGCGAAAAGTAATGGGTTAGTTAATAAGAGTCACGGGTGTGACTTCCGGACATATGTAAAAATGTAGCTATTTTACAGCATTTTGGCGATGATAAACCCAGATCGGAATAGGCAAAGTATATTTACCAAAACTTCAAGTAATACACTTAGGGTCATATTCCAGAACTCTACCCAATGCTCAAGTCAGGATTTGAGTACGGTTTAAAGCACTCGAAATCACACTCAAGTCCCTGCCATTAGGGTCGTATTTCCAGTGCAATCCTGACTTGAGCATTGAGTTGAGTTCTGGAACACGACCCTTAGAGTGATTCTTCCTCAAGATAGAACGTAAAAAAAAAATGTAATAGTTATTTTTATTTACAATTCTAAATACACTATCGTAGTTGCTACTTATTATTATATTATATTGTTTATTATATATTACTACTAATTATGTATAATTACTTATATATGTAATAACTAGTATTATATTATATAAATATAACACTAATTTCGGGCCCTTCACGGGTTCCATGGTTACGATTTAAATCCGGAAAACTAGTTTTATTTCTTATGTGTAAGAATCCCGAAAACTAAGAACTCGATACTAGTTAGTTCATAATTAGTATTATATATAATAACTAGTAACACTAAACATAATACAGTAATTCCGGGAGTTGCGACGGAGGTATTGTCCACTCATGCGTAGCACTTTTTTGAAGTCTAGATATCTATACTTTGCCTATTGCGATCTCAGTGGTAACAAAAAAGGCGCTTGCCGAAAAAATCTTGCCTGTTCCTCTTGGAGCCGCACTAATGTAATACCCAAATTACCTTTTTTATTCAGACTGATTTTAGGATAGTTTGGGTTTAACCCATGTCCATATTATTTTTTTTTTCAACACATTTTGATGAATCTCGACCAAGCTTCCAGATGATTAACATCCAGTGGATGATAATTTGTATTAATATATTACAAAACCTCCCATATCACTAATTGAAATACAATATTTCACGTGATTTATTTTTATTATTATTTTATTATTTAAAAAAATACGAATAATTTATAACCAACATTTTAGTTAATAAAAAATCTACTGTGAAATATTTTGATCTTGAGGATTTGTAGTGTTAATCAATGCCAAAGATGTTATTTATTTATAGCGAATCACAGTATTTGGGCATTTATATTTTAAAGTTAAATTTGCGTATATAGTGACAAGTTTGATTTTGTTTAAAACTCCCAAAACTAGTTCGTTAACCTAGTCATATTTGCCTTGTCATAGGTATTTACTACATACACGCTTGGCCAAAAGTACAAGCCACTCTAGCAAAACGCCAGCACTTCATTTATTTAAACAGAGTTTCAAAATACCCAAAGTTAATTATATAAGTTAATTATTATTATTTTTTTTTTTTTTGATTGATTGACTGGTTTAAAGTTATTGTCAAGAAATCAGCTTATGGTGGTGGCAGATTTGACAATAAACAATTGTCTAGGTTAGACTTTACTGTCCTGTTTAAAATCTATTTTAATATTTTGACAACATAATCACATATGTGACAGATTTAATTTTAAGTTGTTCATGTTATAAGAATTTACCACGATTTTCTTGTGTAGGGTAGCTAATACTTTTGACCAAGATTGTATGGTGAAGTATGGTGATATATACCAAATATTTCAAGTAGATGATGCATGTAGTCAATTTAAAACAATTCTAACCAAAACTTAGTTCAGTGATAGTATTTTTTATAATATTTTTCTCAAAGGTGTTAATATACATTATTTGATATAATCTATATTGTGTACAAAATTAAGGTTTCAATCATATTTTGTATAATGTTTCATTCACATTTAATGTGTTTTGTAGGTTTAATGATAGTATGTAGTTGAACTATATTGAGAAATTCCACAATTACTTTGGTATGTTGCCAATTATTAATTAATGACATGTATTTAGTTTTTGCTATCAGATTGTATGATGTAAAAATAGTTTCATTTATTACTTTAAATTTTCTTTTGCTCAATATTGTACCTGTTTTATGTTAAGTTTGTGTAATGGTTATGTTCCAATGCCAACCCAGTTCTGGTGATTAGTAAATAAGAATAATATTCCTTTTTTACTACATAAGGCTGAATGGCAACTTGAGGTTTCTGGCCTTTGAATCTTTATTTAATTGTCAATAAAATGTTAATTTTGTTTAAATCACTCTTTTATTAAACCATTGCATCACACTCACAGCCACTCGATCACTCAACACATAAAAGAACAGTAAAACCAAACATTAGACAAAAAAGAAACAAGTTAACAAACAATCCAAGTGAATGCTTAGAAATTAAGTTTAAAAAAAGATAAGCAAAACGAATTTGTTGTCCTTAACATAAGTTACTAATAGTTTCATTGATTTCATCTCCTAAGGAGAGGAGTTTTCTCCATTGTTCTGGAGTAAGACTTATACCCTTTTTCCCTGGCAGTAACTCTCCATTCTTCTCATAGAATTCTCTAACATCTACATACAACTTTCCCTTGAATTCTCTTACTTTAACAAGTTTTTTGCCCTGCAGCACCCAGGTTGGTTCTTTATCATCTGTTTTGCTGCTTGTTTTGGCTTTCTTCTCTGGTGGTGGATTTCTCTGCAAAGCGTACAATCTAATGGTTATTCTCCATTATAAAACTGGAACACCTAGGACATGGGTAGTGTTGACAGTGTCCACAAAATAGGTAAATTTGTGGTTTAACTAGCCAGATTTGGGATAAAAGAGGGCATTCATTATCCTGCATTGCAGTCTGCCTTGTCATTCGCCGCGTAATGCAGGATTATGAATGTAATAGCAGCATGCAAGCCATTGTGCAATCCTGCAATGTGTCCTGCGAGACTCCATATTTGGGCCATATGCAGGATAATGTGTGAGCAGTCTACTGCATGTGTGGCAGACTGTCATGCAGGTAGTGTTTGGGCCGTTTTATTTCACCAAGATTATTTAACGCGCTTATATGAAATGTAGCTCTTTATTTCTGAAAGTATCTATTGCTTAGCAACAAGGCCCATTTTCATTTTCTTGTCGTCCTATTGTTTTACATTTTTGCTTGTCTGGTTGCGACATAATTGAATGGCTTTTCCAAAGTATTTAGAACTTTATAAAGTGTACTTATCTTTGAATACGAATTGAGTGCGAATTTCTGAATCAATTACGCTTCAAGGACGATATTTGTCATCTTGAGTTCATTCCAAAATGCTTTACGGATTAACATGACCTACACGCGACGCTTTTGAAACATTTTAATACACATTGATATGACGTTGCAAGGAAACCTACCTTCGTCTACCTACTGGTAGAGGTTATGTATTTTGTGATAAGAATATTGATATTTTCCCGATGCTTATTTAAAGTCGCTGATTGATAAACATGTGATTGAGGTAATAGGTGAAATGTTATTACGAAAAAAATAGAAATTAAATTTGTTCTTACGTCAGTTGGCCCATCGTCACTATCACTGCTGCTGGAACTTTCTTTTTTCTTATTCTTCGGCATCGTAAATTACAGTTTTTTGCCTGCGAAAAAGCAAAATATCTTAATCTCTACTTTTTTGTACAGTATTTAATTGGATTGGAAGAAAAATTAAATAAAAAAATACCGGTTCCACCAAATCCTTGCAAATCAGAAATAAAGTTTTTTTTATAAGAAATTGTTTGGCGGTAGACGAAAGGAACTTTTTTATCTTGGCTTTTCTCGGTTAGCGTTTCAGCCACTAAAAAGATTTTTGGGCGAAGGAATATGAGATATAAATTATTACGATCATTGAAATTAATTAGTATATGGCAATATATAGATTCATTGGTTATAAACAAACAATTAGTATTTTGGGAGACATGTTTTAAAATTAAATCTAGATAGAAGTTGTTTAAGGTTTATGTTATTTATTACACATTAACAAAAAATAGATATGAATCACACGTTCTTGCAACCCATATAGTTTGTCTATCTGCCCATTCTACCTCATATGAGAATCACGTACGATATTAAATGAAAGTAAATTAAAAAAGGTGAATTAGTAAAATTTTATTTGTTATAGGATTTTTTGTGATTTGTCTATTGTGTAATCATTGAAATATAATAATTTAGAAATGCCAATAATGAATAGGTTATTTTTCTTAACTTAGAAAGAAACGTTTAATATTTTTGACTATAGTCGTATTCCAAAACTCTACTCAATGTTCAAGTCAGGACTGGAGTATGATTTCAAGCACTGGTAATACGACCCTAATGGCAAGGACTTGAGTATGATTTCTAGCGATTTAAAAATGTTCGAAATTGAAATAATTAGGATGGCCGCCATACAAATTTCGAAGCCTTTTCTTTTATTAATAATTTTGGCTTGGATACAAGTCCTTTGAGCCATGTCTTCGTTTAATTACGTTTCTGTAAATATGGCCGCCACAAAGAGGATAGGCAATTTGAGGCGGCGTGCTTGGATTGACTCGGGATTCCTTAGAACGGGCCGATACGGGTATTTTAGTTGGAGATTCGTATAATTTCGCATTTTAATCTTCGATTAAGGCACAATAGCACTATCCTATTCCACTTTAAACTAGATTTCACAAAATAATTGAAAGTCAAAATAAAAACGACACTTTTCCCTCCAAAAGGCCCAGAGCGAATCCTTTCGAAGCCTTCTATCACGTAAACTCTTAGAGATAGGTACGAGGTGCTGGAAGGAATATCTTAGAGGATGATGGTGGCCAACTGTCTGTATAAAAAAAAAATCAAGATGGCCAATTCAAAATGGCGACCGAAGAAAATCTTGCTTCGATGCGGCTGAAAATTGGCATACGGGGGTCTTTAGGTGTCCTTGATCATAATTTGGGGTTAAAAGTTTTTTTTTCGCCACTTTTTATATGGCGGCTATATAAGTGTTCTTTTCGTTAAAAATAGCTGCTGAAACAGACTCGCTCTGTTTCAGCTACAAATTGACATATGGAGGCCTCTAGAAGTGCCAGATAATAATTTGTGCTCGAAATTGGTTTTTCAAATATGGCCGCCATATAAGCATTTGTTGACAGTACAAAACAATTGTTCTGATCCCTTTGATAGTTGACATGTGGAGGTCTCTAGGAGTGCTTGATAATAATTTGTGATCAAAATTAGTTTATCGCCATTTTTCAATATGGCTGCTATACAAACTTTTTGGCGGCAGATAGAAATTTACTCTAATTCAGCTGAAAATCGGCATTTAAGGGAGATCCCCACATAGAGATTATACGAGTAGCTGTTTAATAATAATTTGCGGTTAAAATTTGCTTTTAGTCATTTTTCAATATGGCTGAATTACAAACTTTTTTAGCGGATGATAAAAATTTGCTCTAATTTCACTGAAAATCGGCATGTGGGGTTCTCTATGGGTGTTTAACAATAATTTCCAGTCAAAATTTACTGTTTGTCATTTGTCAATATGGCCGTTATTTGTTAATTACTTTAAAGTCATAAGTGCGAGGCCGTAGGTCGAGATCTGGCGGATTGCGAAGCCCGAAGTGTCCGCACGTAGGACTACCTACGTACGGTAGCGTGCGGACACTTCGTATACTAATACGGAGACTAAATTACGAGTACAAGATTTCACAATTGTTCAAAATCTAAGGCATACTTTCCGATGTAGTGGAAATTAGATACTTTCAACGTTGTTGTATCTCGACCGTCTCTCTGTTAGATTCTTTTTTCTTGGAAGCTATGCCAAACAGAGAAGTATTTAGGGAAAAAATGCCAGACAATCACTCCAAATTTCTGGCCTCAAACTAGGGAATTTCCTGTACTATGAGTACCAGAGTAACGATAATTCTCAGGGCAACGCCCAGAATACCCTTACCACAACCAAATTATTATTTTTATTATATAAATTGATTATATATTGAATTGAAAAAAATTGAATATATTTATATAAATTGACTCAAATCAGGGATCGAATCTGGAACTTCCTCATCAAGCGCCCATAGTACTAATCACTGTGCCACTGAAGAGCATAAGCCCACCCCGTACTCTGCAACCGATCACGCGCCGCAGGCCGAGCCCGACCCCACCGTAAGTGGGTTATAGGGCTCGTAATCAATATAGATGCCAAGTCAACTATTCACCTAAGGGTTAACATGTCGCACATGAAATCAAATACTGTTTTAACTCGAAATAAAATTATGGAATTGGTACAAATTAAACTCCTCAATTCTACAATTTTGAGTTAGGCTCATGCGCGAGAATTCTGCGGAAGAATATTCACCTGCCCTACCTTTGAGCATTATCGTGTTATTATTGTAGTAGCGTTTGCAAAGTTATTTTACACCACTGCAAATACCAGAACCAGTATTCATTTCCATTATGATAGACTTTACGTAATAAACCAAATATTATACTCACGAGTACGTCAAGAGCACATCAAGCTTGATACAAGGACTTTGGACCATTTTCTTATCAAGCGACATACAGTTGAATTTGAATAATAATAATAATAATAATAAATACGATAATAATAATAATAATAATAATTCATTTATTCGCTTCAAATAGGGTAGGGTACATTACACATGTTGATGGTAAAAATTAAATCAGAACTTAAACCTATTCGGCCTTCTAAAATAAAAGCATGCAAATACAATAATAAAATAATACATTGGTGGATTGAGATTCGATTTTAAAACAATAATTAGGCAACAAATTGATAAATTTAAGATAATTGATTTAATTTGATATGTCAGAATCGTGTATGTCATAATTTAATAATAATAATATATATATATATATATTTTAATGATGGGAAAAATGTATGCATCAATTAATTATTCTTTATGATTCATGAATTCGTCAATAGAGTAAAACAAATGATCAAAGAGCCACATGCGCAATTCCTTTTTAAAATTAGTCAATGGTAGAGGCTTAATGCGATCTGGTATACGATTAAAAATTTTTCCACACATTACATACGAGTCATTTAGAAAACGTTTTGTTTTGGGTATTGTATTTAGTACGACTTTATTGGGCTTCCTTAGGCTTCTGAATGTTACGTCCTTCGCTATTAAGAATTTCGATAGATTGCGTTTCACGAATATACCAACTTCGAAAATGTACAGGCATGGGAGGGGTAATACTCTTAGTGTTTTAAAGTGAGGACGACATGAGACATACGGCGCTACATTGCTTATGGCACGTATACATCGCTTTTGAGCAATAAAAACCTTCGCAAAATCTGTTCCGTTGCCCCAAATTACGATACCGTATCTGAGTACAGACTCAACATACGCAAAATAGGCAGTCCTGGCTGTGCATTTATTCGCTACTTTTGACAATTTGTAAAGAGCAAACGCAAACCTATTTATTTTAGCACATACTTTGTCCGTTTGATCGCTCCAATTCATCTTTTGGTCTATAATTAATCCTAGAAATGTCACATTGGTTTCGCTTCGCAAGATTTGTCCTTTATAATCCATGTCAATTGTCTGTGTTCGTTATTATAAGTTTCAAATTTGTGAAAGATGTTTCGTGAATTATAAGTTTCAAATTTGACGTGCTCTTAACCCTGTACCTACAGGATACTTGCACCTGTACCATAAAATAAACAGATCAAAAATTATTTTTTCCAAATTATATATGTCTTGATACATAATTTTTATAAATTCAGACAGATTTTATATGCTGTTGAAGCGAAGCGAAGACAAAAGTTACCTCTTCTTCGAACTCGTAAATTCTTCCGCAGAATTCTCGCGCATGAGGCTAACTCAAAATTGTAGAATTGAGGAGTTTAATTTGTACCAATTCCATAATTTTATTTCGAGGTAAAACAGTATTTGATTTCATGTGCGACATGTTAACCCTTAGGTGAATAGTAGAATTGGTATCTATATTCATTACGAGCCCTGTAACCCACTTATGGTGGGGTCGGGCTCGGCCTGCGGCGCGTGGTCGGTTGCAGGGTACGGGGTGGGCTTATGCTCTTCAGTAGCACAGTGATTAGTACTATGGGCGCTTGATGAGGAGGTTCCAGATTCGATCCCTGATTTGAGTCAATTTATAAAAATATATTCAATTTTTTTCAATTCAATATACATATAATCAATTTATATAATAAAAAATAATAATTTGGTTGTGGTAAGGGTATTTTGGGAGTTGCCCTCAGAATTATCGTTACTCTGGTACTCATAGTACAGGAAATTCCCTAGTTTGAAGCCAGAAATTTGGAGTGATTGTCTGGCATTTTTTCCCTAAATACTTCTCTGTTTGGCATAGCTTCCAAGAAAAAAGAATCTACCAGAGAGACGGTCGAGATACAACAACACTATAAGTATCTTATTTCCACTACATCGGGAAGTATGCCTTAGATTTTGAACAATTGTGAAATCTTGTACTCGTAATTTAGTTTCCGTACGGTAGCGTGCGGACACTTCGGGCTTCGCAATCCGCCAGATCTCGACCTACGGCCTCGGCACTTATGACTTTAAACTAATTAACAAATGGCGGCCATATTGATAAATGACTAAAAGTAAATTCTAACCGCAAATTATTATTAAACAGTCATAATCTCTATGTGGGGATCTCCCCTAAATGTCGATTTTCAGCTGAATTAGAGC